GAATGGCGGCGGCGGACGACCTCAAATTCCAAGGTAAAGGCGGTGTCGCAGGTGCGGGCGCGGGGTTGGGGCCCGGCTGGGGGAGCCGCCTGGCGCTGGAGGCTTTGGGAGCGACTCTGGGCGTTCTCTGAGTAGAAGCGCCCTTGGGAGTTTTGCAGGTGGTGAATTTTCCTGGGTGGAATTGTGCTGCTGGCGAGCTAAAAATTGTAACTGGGTTGCCTGGAATCACTGACTGATAGATATCCTTCGTGGTAAAAAGTGAAAGCTGGAAACGGGTAGAGCACTCTGTAACCTGGGAAGGGCCATGGTTTTGGACTTCCTTAACTGTTGACAGAAAAATTCATGTCAGTTTTTGGAGAATATTAAAATCATGCAGCTTCCCCCTGCCCTTGCAGGGAGCTGATGGCAGGGAGGGAAGGAAGGTTCCGGTGGTGCCAGTGTGTCATCCTGCAGGCAGATTGGCAGGAAAGGCAGCCTCACACTTCATTGACTAAGTAAATGTTCAGCTTGATCTGTATCAGTTTGGGCTCTGAGAAACAGATCATATCTGACATGCCTGAGCTAGTGATTATCCTGTCTCAGGGTCCTAATGTGGGGTTTTGAGCCACGAGAACAGAAATTTTAGTATCTTGACCGATCATCGCCTGTCTTGTAATGTACTTGTTTGCAGAATTTGACGATGCAGCTAATTTGCTTGCAGCAAATCCTGATGCCACCACCATAAGCATTGATGAGCCAGTTGAAATCCCCAAGAACCAGCACAGCCGCCAGCAGGAGCCAGGGAGGGAAGAGGATGACGAGTTACTGGGGACCGACGACTCCGATAAAACAGAGGTAATACTCAGTCCTGCAAGAGGGATGGAGAGGGCCTTTTACAAGAACAAGTAGTGACAGGACAAGGGAGAATGGATTCAAACTGGCAATAGGTTTAGATTAGATATTAGAAAGAAATTTTTCCCTGGGAGGGTGGTGAGTTCTTGGCACAGGTTGCTCAGAGAAGCTGTGGCTGCCCCATCCCTGGAAGTGTTCAAAGCCAGGTTGGACGGGGCTTGGAGCAACCTGGTCTAGTGGAAGATGTCCCTGCCCATGCAGGGGGTTGAAATGAAATGAGCTTTAAGGTCCCTTGTGATGCTGATTAGTGCATGTGTTACAAATGATGTAGCAGGAGGTGGCATCAGGCTGTTCTTTAGAACCCCAGGCCAGATTCTGCTTGCAGGGAGATAAGAGACTAGTTGCTGACAAGTATTAAATAGGGAAAGGGAAACCATTAAATAATTCCTAGGAAGCACCACCCTGTTAAATTTGTTTTTTGTTTGGGTACAGAAATCACGTAACTACTGTGTAAATGAGCTAGTAATGCATAAATTGCTTGCTTGTAACATTTTCCATGTCGCCTTTCCCACCATACAGCTGCTTGCAGGACAGAAGAAAAGTGCCCCTTTCTGGACATTTGAGTACTACCAGACCTTCTTCGATGTGGACACGTACCAGGTTAATACACTGTTCCAGAGGAGAACTTGTCTGAACTATTCCTTAGCCATTGAGGTTTTTTTCTTTCTTGTATTTTTAGTCAGACAGGTCTGTATGTTTTATAGGTCCTGGACAGAATCAAAGGTTCAGTGTTCCCAGTGCCAGGGAAGAACTTTGTAAGGCTGTACATCCGCAGCAATCCTGACCTTTATGGTACGTATGAAGTGTTATTTTCTGTACTAAATATTTCGAGTTTGTATTTCTTTTTACTTGCTAGCCTTGAAAAGCAAGAGGGCAGAAGAGGTATTATTGAACTTGTTCCCTTTTCAGGTCCGTTTTGGATATGTGCCACACTCGTCTTCACCATTGCTGTTAGTGGCAATCTCTCGAATTTCTTCATCCATCTGGGCAAACCCACATACCACTATGTGCCCGAGTTCAGAAAAGGTTTGTAAGTGGTCGTTTGTGGGTTTGGATTTTTGGTTTGGGATGTTTGTTTGGTTTTGTTTTTTTTATGTGCTAATGAGGTAAACAGGTCACAGCTTTGATTTAGCAGAGTCTTGATTTATTGCTGTCTTTAAATTTTTAGAGATGTGAAACAAGTCCTTAAGTGGGCTGTGACTGGCATAAATTGGTACAGGGTTTTAGTAGAGCAAGCAGGAGTAATTAGAGCAGTTATTTTCTAGACTTAGTGAATGTCCCCTCGTACAGAGTGAAAGCCCAGCAGTGGCTACAGTGGTGTTTTTGTAGGTGCCTCTCTGGATCTGTGGCCTCCAAGGAACCTGCAGACCTCAGACAGAAAATTAGTAAATTAATTACCCATATCGCCTACTACTGAAGGCTGGAAATTGTTACTGTCTGGTAAACTCAAAAATAAGCTAAAGATGCTCAATTGATCTGTGCCCCAAAGAACTCAAGAGTGAGGAGGCAGTTTGTCTATATCTGTCTTTGTATTACAAAGAAGGCTGCTGTCCCTGAAAAGGAACAGAGCTTCTGTTTGTTTCCAAAATCCATAGTGTACTTGGAAGAACATTGCCACTAGGGAATGCAGTCACTTGAATAATTTCAGATTTGACACTAGCTTTTAGTAGCAGAATTTCTGTTTTTAACTAAGCTTTTCTTTCCTCCATAGCTCTTCCTTTCACACTGTAACTGACAGCATTTTGTACACAGGGGTAATAAATTGAAAATACGAAGGGAATACTTTCTCAAGTTTTACTTTTAAACTAAGTTCAAGTGCTGGCAAAGTAGCGGGTGTAAACTAGATGTAAATGCAAAGTTCTTTGTTTATTAATAATTCAGACTTTGTTTTGAAAGTAACTTCACAGTTATGTTTCTAGTTTTCAGGCTGAATGCTTCTACATCTTTGATTCTGTCTGGATTCTAAGCAGGACATTAAACCTTTTGTTGTATTTCCAGTGTCCATAGCAGCAACAACGATTTATGCATATGCTTGGCTTGTTCCCCTTGCTCTCTGGGGATTCCTGATGTGGAGGAACAGCAAGGTTATGAACATTGTCTCCTACTCGTTCCTGGAGATAGTGTGTGTATATGGCTACTCCCTCTTCATTTACATTCCCACAGCGGTAGGTATGGCTAGAGTGCTCCCTTACATGTCCTGGTTGAGAAAATTTGTTGGTTTTTATTATATTGTTGATATTAGTCAAAATCTTGGGGACTGGGCAAGTCCTCTGCTCTTTTTGTTGAAGTTTATTTAGTGTAAAGATGTCTTGTGCATGCTGGAAAAGCCCAGAACAGGTCATTGCCCCAGAGGTAACAAATTCAAGTAAGATGCTGCTGGTGAGCCTGGCAGACAGCCCGAGGCAGCCTCAGGAATTGGGATGTGTGTCCCCCCAGGGAACAGACATCAGTGTGCAGGATGGCTTCAAGGACAAGTTTCCCTGGCAGGGACTGTTCTGGGCCACTCTGGCAAG